GGCAAGGAATTTAGATTATTCTTTCAGGAAGTGTGACTATCAAGATAAGAAGGGAGAGGGGAAAGTAGCTAAAAAGAAAAGTGGGATGTAAAAATGTTTAAAAATTACTTTTTGATTAAGAGGGAGAAACCTGCAGATATTGGCACGCTGACAGGAAATCCAAGAATGGGGGTAGAGGTGGTGGAGCATTGGTTTTCAGTCTGCTGTGAGTTTGGCTAATTTGAATCAGGTTCTCTAACTTTGGACTTCCACTGAAAAATTGAGCCTATAAGCTGGTGATGTTGCCAAAGCACAGTCACCCCAATGGGGGCACATAGGGATGGTCCACATCTTTACTTTGCCTAGCTTTAACTGCAGACATAGCCACAGACTCATCAGTGGGTGACTGTTCTGCTATAAAAAGTCTCCAAATCTGAACACTAACATCACAGCTAAACTGTTAGTTTCACTTGTAATCTAAGACATACAAATGTAAATACCAGGAGGTACCATACACCCAGTACCAAAGATTTAAAACCATGAGAATTCCCTGCTGGTGAAAAGACAATTTGGTGCAATTCTTTTGGAAAATAATGGTGCATGTTTCAATAACCTTAAAACATTTTCATATCACTTGTCTCAGTAATTCCATTTCCAAGACTCTGGATACAGAAACAAGCTGAAGTGCAAAGATGCTCATTGCAGCATTGTTTACAATAAGGAAAAACTGGGAACAGTTTGAGTAGTCATGAGTAAAGACATGTCCGCACAAACACTAATAATTCCTCTTGATGGGGGCACCTGGGTGGCTCAGTCGTTAAGCGTCTGCCTTTGGCTCAGGTCGTGATCCCAGGGTCCTGGGATCGAGCCCCACATCGGGCTCCCTGCTCCGCAGGAAGCCTGCTTCTCCCTCTCCCACTCCCCCTGCTTGTGTTCCCTCTCTCACTGTCTCTCTCTCTCTCTCTCTCTGTCAAATAAATAAATAAAATCTTTAAAAAAAATAAATCCTCTTGATGGAAAATAACTTAGTGGCTTCAAATACTACTTACAGAGACAATTTTTGATACTTGATATACATATGGTGTTAAGTGAGAAAAGCAGAATAACAATTCTACTGTATGTACACAACATAAATAAGCCAACAGTATAAAAAAGACTGAAAGTATCTTCACTCGCAGTGATTATGTTTGCTTGGTTGGGTCTTTGATAATGAAAAAGAGACTGAACAGGAAAAGATCTCTATAGCTCTCCACTGATTAGCAACGGCTGACATTACAATGAATGTCATTTTTTTCCCCCGTTCACTTTTTCATACCGTTCTTTGGCATTTTGGTAGTGCATAAATTATCCACAAAGAAATGCAGGTGTTTTACTGAAAATGCATCAAATGAAAACTCTAGATAACACACTAGGAAAGCATCTTTAGAATGTTTTTATTATGCTTGACACCATTTTTCTCTATAAAACAATACACACTCATTTGGAAAATGTAGAAAAATTGTAAATCAGAGAACTATGAAGAAGCAAAGAAAAATTTCACTTAATCCTTCTATTTAGATAATAAATGTTGATATTTTACTTTATAAAGGAAACAGCTTTTGGTGGGAGAAACTGCTATGTTCATCTAAACAAATTGCATATAACTGTGACATAAAGCTCTTACGCTACATTTTACCCCTCAACAAAGCCAAATCATCCACAAACAGCGTAGGTTTAAGGATGATCAACAATGTTGAGCTTAGTCTAGGTGGGTCTGGGTGGGGTTCTGCAGTGGACCTGCCCTCATTAACCTTACTAATCAGAGAAGCCAACTTCTGTAGCCATCGCTCTTGTGTAGATCAGAGACATGCTATAAGCAAAATACAGCTAGAATTCATCAGTAAGTCTGGATGTGGTACCAGAGGACCAGCTGGGCTGATCCCAACACTCTTCCCTGTTACTTGAGGATAGGACCAGCCTCTTGTAAACCTCAAAAATTAAACCAGGAAGGTTATCAAGCAGTAGATGAGTTTATTCTGGCATAGTGAGGAATTGCAATTCGGGACAAGCAAACTATGGCAAACCATGGGCAAGTACAGAGAACAAGGGAGAGGGACTTGCCTTCACAGAGGAAAGGAGGGAATTGGGAGGGGTGTTTTTGAATGACAGTTCACTGGAGGAAACAAAAAAAAGTTCATTAGAAGAGAGGGAGAGTTTGGGGCTGTGGTATCTTCTCATTGGCTGGGTTTGTTGCTGGGCAAGGAGAAAATCTTACTTCCTCCTGCCACGGTATGGAAAGTAAGTGTCTTCCTGATGGGGCATATAAAGTAATAAATGGTATGAGTGGTACCTGTATAAGAGCTCCCCCTTCCAGTTTTCCTGACCCCATTTTGAATGAGGTTTTCCTTTTCTCATTTTCACTGTCTATACTCCCCTTAACCTTCAGCAAACTGCTGGCCATAGAATATAGCAGGTGCTCAATAAACATTTATGGAAGTAAACTAAAGGCTTGGGCTCAAATTCTTGCCCTATCACTTATCAGCTAGATGCTCCTATCCATTTCTTTGGTTTTAACCCCTGTCTTTGAGCTCATCAGTTTCAAATTTCAGTTATTAACTTTGTCTTCTCTCCAAAGCTCCAGACCCAGCTAATTACGTGCCTCCTGCACTTTTCCACTTGGATGTTCCATAAGTGGCTCAAAATCTCTATCACCTGTATCAGTACCCCAGTGAGATACTAAATGTCTCTCTCCGCTCCTTTGTCCTTCTCTTCCCTCTTCCATTTATATGCTCATAAAATCCTGCTGGATTCTAGTTCAAAAATCTCCCAAATTCATCCTGTTATCTCCGTCCCCACAGCTGCTGTGTGAATTAGTTCAGACTCTCATTATATCTTACGTGGACTGTTACATCAGTCTCCTACCTAGTCTCTTTGCCTCCAATCTTCCTGTTTTAAAACATCTTCTACGTGACCATAACCAAAGGTGTCTGTCCAGGCTCAGGCATAATTATATCATATCCTTCCTTCAAAACATTCAAGAATGTTCAAGAATCTAAATTCTTAGTCAACTCAGACAGCTTATCACAATCTGGCTCCAACTTCCCTTTCTGGCCTCATCTCTTATAAAACTCACCCCTCTCACCCTAAATAGGCCTCGTCTGTTTTAGCCATACAGAATTCCCATTCTTCCCCCAATAGACCATACTTTCTCCCTTTGCATAGATTAATCCAGGATCTTCTCTCCCAACTTCTTATCCATGATGTTCCTTTACCTGGGAGCTCCTATCTTGTATTCAAAGTCCAGCCCACTTGTCACCTCTTCTGAGAACCTTCCTAGGGCCTCCCAGGTAGAACCAACCACTCCCTTGACCCTGCTCTCATAGTACGTAGTCAGTATACTTATTATATCACTCCTCTTGATCTCTCCGGGGGCAAGAATGAATGCCCCAGAAGAGTATGATGGTCTACAGCTGGTGCCACATCTGTCCCTGTGAACACAACCCCAGCCTCTGGGTGTTGCCTAGAGCCTCAGCCACTCCACACCTACCCTCTGTGCAGTGGTCCTCAGGCTTCACTTTGTGAGAGAAGCCCCCTGGGCGCTTGTTTCACAGGCACATTCCCCCTTCCTCCCCACAAAAGACTGATTGAGTCATGGTCAATGCATCTTGGGTGAATTAAGATTTGTTCAGAGACTCAGCAATGGGGACTGATCCTGGGGCAAAGAGACCCATGTCTGGAGAAGGGAGTGAATGGAGTTCATTTATATTCTGGGATTGCAGCAAGATCTGACAGAAAGGCTCTTCACTCAACTTGATTAAACCTATGCGGGGGTCCATGCTGGGTGCACGCGAAGACGAATTAAAAATATCCTCTATGTTCTAGTCAACTTTTAGGATCCAGTTCTGTGTCCTAATTACTGTACTTCAGGAAGCCTCCCCAGCTCCTCAAAACTGGGCTGACTTGTCCCCCCATAAATCCAGGTTTATCCTCAGCAGAGCTTTATATTCAGTGCATGGCAGCTGCTGAAATGTTGTCTACCCTCTATAACCACACTGTAAGTTAGGCAAGGACAGGGCCTGTGCTTAGTCATCCTAGTCTGCTCAGAATTTACCTATTGTCGGCTCCTAGTAGGTATTTCAGAAACAGTTGTTTAACTAAATTGAATGAAATAGCCCTTTCACACCTCAGGAGACCGAGCACATTCAGTATGTCCACAGAATGAGTACATTGCCAGCACTCCAGCATCTATTGACTGACTCAGCAAACAAACATATTCGGGGCACTGGGGAGCTCAGCCCACGCGGTGGAGGGTGGAGGCGGGCGAGAGGCAGGAACGCCGGGTCCCTTCCGTGGTCCCCACTACTCTGTGCACTGAGGCCGGTGGTCCACGTGCAGGAGAAGCAAGCCGAGGCAAAGAGATGAAATCCACGATGGATTCACCAAGGCTTTATGGAAAAGTGACATGATGATCAGTGGAATTTCCACACAGAAACGGATCCAGGGAGAGGAGCGAAAATGCAGGGTATGGTGTGGAGAAAAAAAAGAAAAGAAAGGAAAAGTTAAAACAAGCTGGGAGGCCGTGGTGGGTAACTGACTCCACATCGGGGTGCAGAAGTCCGCACCACCGGCAGACCCCTGGGCCCCAGGCGGGGAGAGCCGGGGAGAGGGACGCGCCTCGCTCCCATCGGTCCGCAGAGGCGTGGGGTCTCGCGCGCGGGTGTTTGCTCCCCTCTCCCCCGAGGCCAGGCGCAGCAGTCCCCCCGGCCGACCGTCCCCACCCCGGCCCCGGCGGTGTCGGCCAGGCGGGGGCGGGCCCGGGCGCGGGTGTGGAGCCGCGGACCCGAGGGGGATGAGTAACCCTCGGCGGCGAGCAGGCGCGGCCGGCCCGGAGCGTGCCAAGTTCCAGCCCGACGCGAGCTCGGCCCGGAGCGTCCGGGGTCGTGCCCGAGGCCCGGGAGGGGCGGGCGGCCGCACCCAGGGCGGATAAAAGGGCGGCGCGGCGCGGGACCCGCTTTCTCCACGCCGGGCCTGCGGCGCGGCTCGCGGGCGGGCACCTGACGCCGGAGGCAGGCGCGCGAGGCCCTGGGCAACCGCGGGCGGGGGCATGGCGGAGGTGGCGCGCGCGCCGGCCGCCCGGCCGAGCCTGACCTCCATCTCGTCGGGGGAGCTGCGCAGCCTGTGGACGTGCGACTGCGAGCTGGCCCTGCTGCCGCTGGCCCAGCTGCTGCGCCTGCAGCCCGGCGCCTTCCAGCTGCGCGGCGACCAGCTCGTGGTGTCCGGCCCCGGGGGACCGGCGGCGGTGCGCGGCGGCTTCAACGTCTTCGGCGACGGCCGCGTGCGCCTCGACGGGCAGCTCTACCGCCTCAGCAGCTACATCAAGAGGTGGGTGGCCTCGCCGGGTCCCCGCAGAGGCCTCCACCCCGCTGTCGTCCGCGGGACCCCCGGGTGGCCCAGGTTTCCCGCCACCCCCTCACCTCCTCCCCGTCCCCTTCCCGCCGGGACCGCCCCCCCCACTTTCATGCCACTTGTAGGTTTGCCTCGTTGCTAATGTCACCTGGAGGTGCACAGCTCCCCCAGCCCTGGCCTCTTCTGCCCTTTGCACTGACATCTTGCAGCTGCTGCTTGAAGCCGCCCAGGAGGGCATCAGGGCAGGCGCGTGGCATAGGGCTGGGTGGGGAGCTCGTAACTGGCGGGTGATTTTCCCCTTTCTGGCTCCTTAACTGGGTCAGATGAGCTCAAATGGAGACACACCCTTCAGGGGGTGTTTGCAGAGGAGAGACTCACGCCCTGGCTTTGGATTTGTGGGGAGGGGAGAGGCTGCTCAATTCTGTATATTACTGGCTTGATCCAGTGACGAGACCCAGTGGAAAAGCGTGCGAAAAGTTCAAAGTTTCCCGTCTTTGGCGTGCCTTCATTTTCAAAAAGTAATGAAATAAACCATGTCTGAGAAAGGAACAAAGCCTGGTATGAAGTCCAACCCAGGGCCATGTGGGCTGTGATGTGGGCAGGCGAGTTCTGGGAAAATAGGTGCAATGAGGGTGGCTTCCAGGATCTTGGCGCAGAGCTGGGCCCAAACTTAATTTGATGGCAGGTGCCCAGGAGGCTTAGCTGTTGTGGCCAAAGTGTCAGAAGCATTTCTTAGCAAACTTGCAGCCAGCAGGCTGTAGTCCATCTGAAGCAGGCTCTGATCATCATAGGATAAAGGAAGAGGGAGCTTCATGCTTGATTCTACGTGGCCTCATGCCTTGCAGAGGTCATCCTGTACTTGTGTGTGTGGGGGTGCGTGTGGGGGGGTGTCTTATACTTGTGCTGTGGAACTAACTGAGCTTCGGGAAGCGGGCAACGCAGTCTAGAGTTTGAATCTGAGCTGCGTAAGCTGGCCAGCTGTGAAGATAACAAAGCCTTCGCTACTGGGAAGGACAGCAGTGCCGTGGTACCCTGTAGGTGGGCTGGAACCAAAAAGGGCAAGCAAACAAAATGAGATATTTAAAATGCCTTCTTCAAGGCTGCTGGGAAAAACATTGCTTTTCCACACAAAGATAGTGAGGGCTTTGAATGCCTGAAAAACCATTCTGCAGCAAGAATTTCTCCCTTTCTTAGTCAAGAAAGTGCCCCCCCCATAAGCAGGGTACAATGGGAGGAACTCAGTTAGAAATCATATTTGCAAAGATTAAAAAGAAAGTTAACCATTGTATTTGAAAACAGAGTATGAAAAATTAAAATGTCCAAAATTAATTGAAGCCATAGGTTAGGCTTTTGACAGAGCCAGCTCCCTCAATCTTAGCAAGCAGTGCGGCAAAAATGAAAATGGTGTCGAAGTCTGGTTATTAAATTCTCGCTTTGAACACCTCCTACACAAAAGACTATTAAACAGCAATGGTCCCCTGGCAGTTTAGAGTCCAAATAAACAATGACCAGACCAGAATGCAGTGAGGATGCAACAACAAGCTTCTCATTGTCGAAGCAGTTGAGTGAGGGCCTTTGGACCCTGGGACATAGCAAGGAGCATCTGAGACTAATCTGGGTGATAGAAGAAACGATCTTTCTCTCAGGGGACAATGCTGCGGCAGGGGAAGTAGGCTTTATAGGTGGGTGTACAGTCCTGAAGGGTCAACCTGATCTGGATGGAGAGAGCCTTCTAGAAGGGAGGAAAGACTAGGTTGAGGGCAGCAGTGAGAGGGATCTGATCCTTCATGGATCAGAAAGTGGGCGCACAGTCAGAATGCAGACGTTGAAGTTGCCTCCTTAGATCTGCCAAATTTACCCAGTTGTCTTTGGCTTTGGGGATAGCATACAGCTTCCTCTCTCAGAACATTGCTCCAAAGCAGTGATTCATTCCCTCCCTCTCTCCCTTCCTTCCTTCCTTCCTTCCTTCCTTCCTTCTTTCCTTCTGTAAGCTTTGGCCAGTTTTACTAAAGAAAAACTGCATAGTTTTCTTTTTACTAGTCTGTTCTGGCACAATTCTAAAGATGACAGAATCACCTGGATCAATGATAGCCTAGCGTGCATTATTTATTTTCAGCATGCTATGCCCCATTCAACATTATTACCACTGCCATGCTGGACAGCAGTTTTGGCCAACAGGGCACAGTTCTGTCTTTCAGACTTCCTCAAGGTTGGGCCGTTGTTGTTGAGGATGACCAGTTTCGCTTTGCCTTGTCAGTCATCATAGTCGGCTTGTACCCCAGCACGCACTTCCCACTTTTCATGTCCAGTTAGGACCTAGAGTTGATGGACTCCAGCAACTTTTTCATCTTTTCTGCGGCCACCATATTCCTACCTTAGGTGTGGGACGGCCTCCAACCAGGAACAGCTGCCAAGATGGCCAGGGAATGAGAAAGGCAAGCAATGATTCTTAATCATTTCAGACTAATAGAGCTTTTGAGAATTTCTGTAGACCATCTTCCCAGAGGTATATATATATATGCACTAATGTTGCTGACCATCCAGGTAGTTTATGAGATACTTGGATCCAGGTTAAGGATCCTTGCTCTATTCATTAATTTAGTTCTTTTTTTTTTGGTTCAACAACCATTTTTGGTGTGGGTAAGTTTACAGTGTAAGCAGGATTTCCTTTTTGAGGCCTCAGAAACGTGTGCTGTGACTTTTGTGAGGCCCTTTCCTCAGGAAGAGGCTTTGGGCTACTGACCCTGACATTCATGTGATTCACTCATTCAGACAATAAGAGGATGACAACAAGAGGATGGCTCAACTTACTCAGCTGTGTCGTCTGATACTTGACCGTTTTCGAAATTCGTGGTAAACCTGAGGGAACCTGGGATGGAGAGGGGAGGTTTAGGGATGGCCACCACGGCTGTAGAGCTCCTGAGAGCCTTCTCAAAAAATCTATTCTAAATTTGGGGGAGTGAATGGTAAGATCTTCCTTGTTATTTTTTTCTTTCAAGCTCAGAATTTCCATCTGTGTTATGAACAAAACCTGCTCGGGATACCAGGGGTAAATAACCATTAACGCACACACGTTTTTTCCCTGTGACGCGATGCAGCCTCTTAGGGAGCTGTAGTGGCACGTGTTGGGCACATGGGAACACCATGCTTCTTTTCAGAGGTCTCCGAGCATGAAGGAGGCTGTTCGGGTGATAAACAGAAGTGCGTTGTAATAACGGCAGCTGCTCAAGTTCACTCAAGTGGCAGGAATGGCACAAAGTAGTTCACAACTCTTACCTCACAAAAGCTTACAAAGTTGGCACAATTGGTGTTTCCCTTCTTTTTCCAGGTGAGGAAATTAGGACTCAGATTAAACAAGCTACCTTAGCGAGGAGCTGGTGAGTCGTAGAACCGGCCAGGCCTTCCGTGTCGCCTTGGCTTACGATAAGCCTCTGCTCTCAGCCTCAGAGCTGCAAGGATCGTGGCTTCCTGTAGACAGTAGCCCCTTTCTCACAAGTCTCCCGAGTCGACAAATGACTGGGATTACAGCAGACATTACGCATCTCATATAATCAGGCCCACAGAGCAAGGAAATCCGGTGGCCGTGAGGAAGCCACTAAAAGCAGAGATGCGAGCTGCTCCTGCCCATAGGCGACCAGCTGTTAGATGGTGACGGGGACACCTGCCTGGAGGTCAGCCACCTGGGGCAGGGGCTGCAGGGGGCTGTGGGGCGGACACGGGCGGGGCCCAGCTGAGGCGGAGTCAGGGCTGCAACCTGGGGAGATCTCGCCCGCACCTGCCCCAGGGAGTGTGGGGCTGTGTCTGCGGGCCCAGGCTCCCCTCTCTGAGGCAACCCGATTGGAGGCGGGAGGCGTGTGACTGGTCCTCTGCCTTGATCCCGGGGTCTGAGTCTCAGATTTGGCGACCTGCCCAGGACAGCAGCCCCTCGCTAGGACGTGTGATGCTAGTGATGAAGTAACCATCCTTTTTGCGTTGAGCTATGATCCGCATGGGATGCAGTCTAGAATCAGTGCGGACAAGCACGGGGGCCAGGACCAGACTGCCTTGGTTTGAATCCTGGTTCTGCAGCTTAGTAGCTGAAGGACTTGGAAGATGTCTTAATCTCTGTGACTCAGTCTCCTCAGCGTATAATGGAAATAATAGTACCAACAGCCTTATAGGGTTGTTGTTCAGAATTTAAATTTATAAGGTCCTTAAAGCAGTTACTGGTACATATTGATCGCTGGACAAATGTTAGCCTATAATATCATTAAGCAGCCCCATAAGCCAAGTGCCTCACACACATTATCCTGTCTGTTAGCCACCTGATGGGGTACCGTTTGTTAGCCAGATTTTACAGGGGAAGAAATTAATCTCAGCAAAGCTAAAAAAAAACTTGCTGAGGCCGCAGAGACAGAAATTGAACCCAGATCTGATGATTCAAAAGCCACGTGCCATTACTGCTTTCTTTCCTCAGGAGCCTTGCTCTGGACCTCCAGCCACACTCTGGTCCCCTTCTTACTCTCAGCTCACCTGGTGCCTGTCAGATGCCTGCCTGCAGGCCCCAGTGCAGCCACCCCACACTCCCCGAGGCTTGGCTAACCCGTGACTCCTGCTGGGGACGCCTCCCTCCTGCGTTGGCCCACCCAATGGTGGGACCTTTGGCTGGACAGAACAATCCCTCTTGTCTAGCTCAGCTCGGGAAATGGTTCTAACTCCAGACCCCTCCTGCTTTGCTCTTTCTTATTTAAATAGCCAGAACATAACACCTGAATGCAGAGAGCTCTGCATTTCTCTGGCATTTGTATGTTTGATCATTAACTCCTTTGTAAGCCTCTTAATGGCAGGGACCATGTCTTCGATCAAACTTGAAATAAGCATGAAGTTCTCCCGGGGATCTTATTAAATCACAATTTTTGGGTTGAATAAGACCGGGGAGGAGCCCAGGACTCTGCAGTTTTACCAGCTCCTCGGTGATGCCAGTGCTGATGGTCGAGTGATCATGCTTTCAGCAACAAGGTTTTACCAGTCTATCATTTTATATTGAAATGGTACATTTTCTTATGTCTTTCTAATAGACTAGATGCTCCTCGAAAGCAAGACTATTTCCTTTTGCTTTTTGTGTCCTCAGTGCCCAGCACACATGCTTCGTGTTTATTGCATGAAAAAGTGGATGCACGAATGCACCATTTCTGCTCCATGATGGGGGCGGGGGGCGGGTGCGCGCGGGGCAGGGGCATGTACTGAGCATCAATAACGAATGAATGAATGAGTAGATGAACATGTGTGTCCTTGATTCGAATCACCAGACTGTAAAGTGATAAATCAAAAATTTTGCTTAATTTCCCTAGAGTTGGGGCAGAAGGAGGGGAGGAAGAGAGAGAAAAGGAGCTGTCTGACAGCTCAGGCTGAGGCCCCACATAAAGCTGTCACCTTAACACTGGAAACACAGCAGGGCCCTCCTGCTTGCTCCCAAGGGCAGAGAGTGCTTTTGCTTAGTGTCACAGCAAAGGATTATGAAAGCCTAAGCAATTTCTGGGCCTTCTACACAAGGACTGTTCCATATGTGTTCCTCTTTTTCTGGGCTCCCCGCTCCATATTTTTTTAAATGAACACACACATGCGCACACAGCCCCTCAGATGGAAGCCATAGGTTTGAATTCTTATTGGCCTCTGAGCATTAAAGCGCCAGAGCCAAGGGAAATTTAGGGCAGCTTTGCAGATCGTGCCAGAAATGATGTGAAACCTGAAGGAACCTCCAGAGAAAAGTAGGCATCTCATAGGGGAATGATCTCTCAGCCACTCCAGATTTGCTAGAAGCAAAAATACAGTGTTTTTTTCTTGGTCTCATCTTCCAGCCATTGCCTTCACTAAGCTTTGCATTAGCCTTCCGAACTGAAAAACGGAGGAAAGAAATTGGAGCAAGGAAGGAGAAACTCTTGCTCATGTATTTTTCAGATGCTCCTGTTGTCCTTTTTCCTGGTCACTCAGATGAACACAGCCCTGGTTGTGTGTCACGAGTCCGTAGAACTTCACCCTACAGCAAGTACAGTTGCCCAGGATTAAAGATACTAACAATGTTTGTTAAGCAGCCACTATGGGGCCCCAGTACATATGTGTCTATTACTTGGGCTGCCTTGAATCCTTGCACAGAAGGAGATCCTGTTATATCACTTCTACAGATGAGGGCATGGGTTCAGATAGGTGAAGTAACTCACTCAAGGTCACAGTGAGTTGTGGCTCTGCAGCTGAGTTCACACAGCCAGTCAATTAGGGCATGAATTAGATCTTCTTATTTCGAATCACTAAGCATTGCATCACATTGGTCGGCCTTTGAAACTTTGGACTGAAGCCAGGCATAGAAAGTTTCAGCCTAGAAGCATTTTGGGGCCAAGGTAAAAGCAATGAAGACATGAGAATTTAAAGGAGCTATCTTAAACCCTTTGCTCTTTGTCCTTAATAACTTCAGCAAATATAATAAGCATCCAGCACAGAAGAAACAGTATTTGCATTAGTAATTCAGAAATATGCATGATTAGAGATGAAATAACTAGTCCCTAAAGTAGTCTGGTAAGGCTCCTCTTAAAACCAGTGATTGAATGTCAGATACTTAAATACCTATGAGACTTCACAACCAGGTCCTCAGTCTTTTTGTATTTTAGTGACTTACATATCCAAATTTTGTAAGAGTGAATTCCAAAGGAATGCTTGCATTTATTAATTTCACTGGAATTTGAAGGTGTTTAACAATTGTTCCATCACTGGTAGGCTGGGAATAATGAATTAAGAAGGCATTTCTTATTTGTGACCTGGTTTAAACAGAGAGTTCATTAAGTAGGGATCTTGCTACAATCTCTTGTCTGTAAATTCTGTTACAGAGCTCTCATATAAATAGCAGCATTTTCACACATCTGTGGCATCGTGATAACTGACATGCTCGGTGGTGATGTATACAGCCCCGTTAAGATCCTAAAAGTGCCTCTAAATCATCAAAGGAAGATTAAATTATGTTGAGCATAGTTTTATTATCCAGGGCATCTTATTAAATTCGGACTCCAGAAAGGGTGACTCATGTATAGGTTATGCATTAAACTCAGTGTGTGGCTATCCAGAAGGCCCCCCCCTCCATCTCCCCTGGCCCGGCCCCCCTTCTCTGATCATGAGAAACAACAACTCTTGGAGCCCCAAAGCATTCCACAAAACCTTCCACAGTATTTTGGGGAAAACTGATTACTTTCCCAACCAGTGGTCATTTCTAAATTGAGATTTTCATCCTTTTCCTATAAACTGTGGATTCATGAGAATAAAATCGATGGTCACTCAGATTGGATGTTGACTGGTCTCAAAGGCAGAGGCAGGTACTGTGCTGTCATTTGCAACATCAGAATAGTAATTGGGATGGCAGATTTTCCAGACACGCTGTACATCAATGCCGTGTGCATGCCCATGTGAATGACATTCAGACCATGGATATTGAGAGCAGAGGAGTCACCCTGAGGAAAATATGAAATGTTTAAGTGACTATAAATTAACTCCATGGCAAACAAGGCAGGAGAATATGAAAATCTGCCTTGGATGGGTCACAGGTGGCCCCTGACTCTGCCCCAGCATCTCGCATCTATCTTGTTGATGTTTACTCCAATCGGACTTGGCCTTTTCTTCTTCCGTGGCTACAAGGGTTTCCGTCCATTTCTCGTCCTCGGCACCTCCCCCCACACCCCCTGTAACCACAGACCTCACTGGCTCTCCGAAGCCTCTGCTAGGCCACTCTTGTCTGCCCGTGCCAGGTCCTGGATGGCAGAGGGGCTGGGAGGACACAGGGAACCCCTGTGCTGCCCCCCGCTGTCCCAGCCCCACCTCGCAGGCCCCGAGCCCCTCCGGTGTGATAAAACACGCGCGATGCCTATCTGGTGCCCAGCGCATAATCGGTGCCCGATTATGAGTGAATGAATGAATGGGAGCAAATGAACTCCGCAAATGGCAATTCCCTTTCTCCCTCCTTCTCTTTTGTTTCCTTTCTTTAGTGCCTTTTGGCTGTTGGCCAACTGGGACGAAAAGGAACAGGAACACTCTCTCCCTGCTGGTGTGGAACACGAGGGCCACTCTCCTTCGGGTGCCCCACCTCTCCCCGTTCTCACTGGGCACTGTGCTGCTCAGGTGAGGATGAGGGCTGGACCGGGACATTGGAGGAACCATATAAAAATTCCTGGTCGGCGTTATCTTCCTCAGTCCATTCCCTTGTTGTTCCCGCTGGTCCCCCACCCCTTCTCCCCGACTCCTGCCCTCCTCACTCCACTCCTGAGGGTCAACACCTGAACCCCCTTCCCTCCCCTGGAACACACCCGCCCGGTATCCCCTTCCCCACCCCAGGACAAGCCCCCTGACCACCCCCAGTGCCCCTGGCATGGGAAGCCGAGACTACATTAAAAGCCTGGTGAAATACAAGGCAGGAAGCCTTTTAGAGGCTCCATCAGGGGTCAGGTTTTAAAAGCTCTCAAAATCAGGTCTGACAATCACAGGAAAAAGATAATGATACAGATTTCTAAGAGACCAAGCTGGGAGACAGACAAGCCGAAGCTGTGTTTCTCTGCCTTGGGGGTAGATATTCTCCCACGTGCTCACAAACCATGCCTCAGTCCGGGTCTTGTGTGCGGGCCCCTCTGAGCGGGTGGTGGGAAGTGGGGTGGGGCGGGAGGCCGAGAGGACTGCGTGGTCGCAGCTCCCCGCCGCGGAGATCCCTCCAAGGCTGTGATTTTCATGTCAGGCACTGGCCAGACAACAAGCCAGAGAGAAACACTCATGCTGTCTCTGCCCGTGACTAGATGTAAGAAGCAAACACACCTCAGCACAGCAAAAGGAGCCCGTGCCGTCAGCCAGGGTAGCCATTCACTCCATGCAGATGCACACAGCTGCGCCTGCCCATGGGGACCCAGGTCTGTGTTGGCGAGGGATTGTGGCAGGTGCTTCCTCCAGCCTGCTGGATGCCATTCTGCCTGCCTGCGTCCACGTGGTCTCTGAGCTTGGGTGTGGATAGGAAATTAGCCATCTTCTTGAGGGAAGCCGATTTGCACTTCGATCTGTCTTCTTCTCACCAATGCAGGTAGAAAGACTACTTGGAAAATTCATAGACTAGGGGGAGAAAGCTGGCATGCTGGATGACAGAGTCAAAATGCAAAAAAGAACTCTCCAGGCTGGAATAATGAATGAAAACCAAGGAGGCTAAGTTGAATAGGGTCATGGGCAAAAGTCCAACATTAGTGTGGTCTTTTTTTTTTTTTTTTCATTGCACAAAGCTCAGGAGCAGGGAGATATGAATTAGTTCATATGACTATTGGTTGATTGTGTTATCTATGGAGGGGCTGGGATGTCATCTTGGGATTAGAGAAGGGAGGAGGGGAGGAGAAGAAAAGGAAAATTTCAGACCCACCAGTTTGGCAGGATGACTGGAGAAGACCCAGCTTATCCCACTTGTTGAGTGTTAATTCCTTCTCAATCTGGACAGACACAGAGCTCTTATTGCTCCAAATTAACTCTTACAGCCCAAAAGATAGATGGTACTGGCTATCATCCTGTGAGGGCTGCCCCTGAGAGCCAAGCATTGGTGCCAGGCCACCCCAAAGACCACAGCCACCTTAGGGTTGTGTCCCGATCTCTCATCTGACTAGGGAGGGGATTTATTTATATGTTATAAAATATGACTCCCTCCATAGGACACATTTTAGGGGACTTCCCTCACGAGATCTGTGGATGTGGCAGGCACCTATCCAGGACATCCTCCCCCTGACCTAGAGAGGTGAGTATATTACATTTACAATTATCTCTGCTTTTTCCATAGATATGTGGAACTGACCAACTACTGCGATTATAAAGACTACAGGGAAACTATACTGAGCAAACCAATGCTGTTCTTTGTTAATGTACAGACCAAAAAAGACACCTCCAAAGGTAGGTATATAAATGTTTTTGGTTGGATCCTGCCTCCTGAGGCTGTGGGCTGTGGCACTCTAATGAGGTAGAAATTGTGCGTGGGGTAAGCAGGATGGGTGTCAGCTGTGACAAGGCCAGGAGCAAGGAGGAGCCTGGAGTGTTAGACCACCTGAAGCACAGCACAAGCCTGCAGAACCTCTCAGTGATCTGAGGGCAGAAGCCCTCTGTTTCAGGGTTTTGTCTTAACTTCCTGTCTAGGCAGGAAGTGCTATTGTGTTCCAAGTTGGCGGGGCTTGAAAAAATGGCTGGAATGATGGTGATGATCTGTAATACTGTCTACCACATACCAATTGCTTACATACGTGAGGCATACTCCTGTGTCATTAATTGACACGACAGCCCTGTAGGGCTTTCATCCGAATGGGAAGATTTTTGAGTATGAAAGTAGGGACTATTAATAATTATGCTGGGACTGAGGTGTAAACGGGCACTGACCCAGGGGAAATAGGATGCAGAGTCATCCTACCTATGAGGTGCTTCTACCCATTTTATAGATAAGGAAACTAAGGTAAAGAAACAATAACAGTGGTAGATGCTTTTATGTTTCACACTATGGCCTTCAAATCTCAATTTTAGGGGTATCTCTTTATTGCTTCTTCCAAGAAATCAGAATAACTGCTAACAACTCTATTAACTCCAGTTCTGATATGAAAACATCTCCATTTTCCCTTCTTCCTGCTCCATGTTATGTGGGGAAAGTCACGGGCATCATGCTCTGTGATAGAGGCAGAATTTCTTAATTCTCCTTCTAAATAGCATTCTTAAAATGAGTCCAAGGTAATAAGAAACGATCTACAAATTCCAAATAGACTTTCTCAAACATTCATTCTCATTCAGATTCGTGGAGCTGATTCTCTGTTCATTTCATTCAGAATCATTCAGATTCTCTGCTCACTTGATAATTCAGTCACAATGCTCTCTCGGCAGGAAGGGCTGGGAACAGAATACAAGGTAACAAGCCGTGCTTGTTAGAGCATCTGAGCCCCTGATGTTATTTGGCTTGATGATGACCGGAAAGCCGGCGAGTTCTCCAGGAATGTAATTCACAGACATATCAAGTACACCTCCTGCATCGATCTCTCAGGAGGAAATCCTAACAAAGAATAAGAGACCTCTCCATTTTAGCATTTTAATGAAGGTGCAGGGAATGGTACAGGAGGTATTTGTGGATTTGCAGGTGGCCTACAAAAGGTACACAGTTGTATGACAGCTATCGTGGAAGGAGGTACAGAAACCCAGTGCTGTGTAATTGTGAGGAAAACCGGGAACTAAAGAGCTTCTATGATACAGAAGCTTAAGATGGTCAAGTTTAAATTATGAAAATTATAAGTAAGGTAACACGTCCAACCTTGCTGCCAAACGGCACTTTTGTGCAAATTAGAAAAAAGCCACCAGTGACTCAACACAATTTACTAATCCTTTGCTGAAGTTTGTTGTAACAACTATACAAATAGACGATGTCTGTGAATGTCAATGGCATCCTCTAGAGTTGTGCAGTGCATAACCTGCCCAACCAGCACAACTGTAGAGTGTGGTAGCCCTTAGTATCTAATGAACCTAAAGATCTTAGTTTTGTTTATGTGAAAGTTAATTCAAGGTATCAAATAGCTTGCTTGCTTTATCTCTTACCTCAAAGAGCATATAAGGTAATTTATATTTAAAGTGCCCCCCAAAAATGGTAATTTGGGAGAAAGGAAACAGGGGTAGAAAAAATAAGATGAATAAGGTTAGTGCAAAAGTTAGCTCAATATTTATTCCTCAGGGATGTAAGACTCATTACTGGTAGACCACAGGTTTGTCTCTCAAAGCCTATGCAAAATGCTCAGTTCTCAAAATCACATAATGGCTGGTCCATGGCCTTTAAACAGAGAGTGACCATCTATGTTACGTGTCTGTCTAGAAAAAAAATGCTTGACTAATTAAGGCTATGGAGCTTGATTCTGGGGCCTGGAAAAGTTAAGAAACGCTTGGTTTATAATATTTCAAATTTCCTAATGAACAAACAACCTTCTCTTTGCTTAGATTGTATAGAATCAGACAGAATTGGACATAAGGAATTAAAAGAAACAAAGAAAGAAAAAAAAAACCCAAATCAAACCACCACCACCGTCAACAGAACAACTGTCTGCCAGGGCAGAGACGTGGTATTATTTAAACAATGGGAAGGACTTCTCCTGCTGGGGACAGTGATGGGGTGCAGTGTGGAGGAGACCCAGTCTCAAATTGTCTTGATCCTTAGAATCCTGGACTAGCCCTTTGGCAGAATGCATGCCAGGTCTTTGGGGAAGGATGGGGAGATATGGGTGATGGGGGGAGAGGGATGGGGCAGCCTCCTTCCCTGGACTTGGCTGATGTTCTGCTTTGCAAATGAGGAAATGTTGGTGAGAGCCAAGTCGCTGTTTAACTATCCAGCAAGGTTGTTTCGACTTTAGCTCCCCCATGCTGGATGCATGCCCTGGGACTCAGTTCTCATCTGTGATGATTAGGGTGACAAAGTGCACTTAGGGGAGCTGATTTTCTAACCGGCTGTTACGGTATCCCAGAGCTTCCTTCATATCTACAAAATTCTCAGGAACATTTCTAGAAATCTGGTTAGGCTTTGCAGTGAGGGTCTGAGGGAGCCTTGAGGGACATTACAAATGAATAAAATCTCCCAATAAGGTGGGAATCACTGCTTTGTCAAATGCTAAGAAGTATGTTTATGTCACACATGCACACTTCTATTTGAATTCTGCTTCCTAATTTCTAGAAAGAACATACGCATTTCTTGTGAACACAAGGCACCCCAAAATAAGAAGACAGATAGAGCAAGGGATGGACATGGTCATCTCCTCAGTGATTGGAGAAAGCTACCAGCTTCAGGTAAGCTTTGGTCAATATGAATCCAGGGCTGCTAACCACATAGAAAGGGGTCTGTGCATTTCATGCAAGGCCGAGTCCCTAGAGCTTAATTATAACCAGACACATAGATTTTCTATTGTTTCATTATTACTACCAATAAAATGAACTTGGTTCCTAGCAACTGATCTAGAAACAATAGATGTCAATTTGACCACGCAGTTCAAAGGCTTTGGCTGGCTAGGAGGCAAATGCAAAGGTCTGTTTTAAAAAACGAAAGCCAACTGTTTAAAAATATCTGTCAGAGGGAAAAAGAAATAAGGGGTGTGGCATCTTGGATATTTCGGCTGTTGTTAATTCAATGGTATAATTCTATAGGAATATATAATTCTGTAATATAACGTTATAGTTATATCCATGACATTAATTAAATACTTCTCTCTTTCAGTTTGACTTTCAAGAAGCAGTAAAAAATTTTTTCCCTCCAGGAAATGAGGTGGTTAACAGAGAAAATTTGAGCTTTGTGTATGAATTCAAAGCTGATGCATTATTTGATTTCTTCTATTGGTTTGGGCTCAGCAATTCCACTGTAAAGGTGAAAGGAAAAGTTCTGAATTTGTCAAGTACAAGTCCAGAAAAGAAGGAGACAATTAAATTATTTCTGGAAAAAATGAGTGAACCTTTAATCCAAAGGAGCAGTTTCTCTGACCGAAAATTCAGTGTAACTTCCAGAGGTATGTTGAAAATTCCCAAGTACCTGAGGAAGGTAGTTAAATAAAAGGGTAGCATAATATCACGGGAATGGAGAGTCAGTAAACTGAAAAAGAAAGGCCTCTTGATAAAGGGGAAATAAAATATCACATAATTCAGAAAGTAAGAAGCAAGAAATGTTTATTACTAAGAAGAAATACGGTGACTTTTCTTTTTAGGTTCCTTAAAGTTTTCTGACACAGCGGTTATAGTGTGCAGCAAACCCAGAATATAATTTTAAAATATATTATTCATTTAAATACATATTACTACTCATTTAGATATTAACAATAATTTATATATTAGGAAAGAATGATGCTTTCCTGATGGGCACATTCAAGGCAACAGAATGTTAACAGTGTCAGCTGGGGGAGGACTGTACATGGTCAAGATATCTATCTTTAAAAATATGTGGAAGGGTTCTCCAGAGTTTATAAGATGACAAAAGAACAAATCCGGAGAACGCTTTACCTAACAGATTTTAATCTAGATTTGAATATCCAGTGCCTCCTCCCCAGGGGTTGGTGAGACTTTTCAGTCTGCTTGTGGCTAAGGCAGATGACATCCATCAGGTCTTGTCTGGATTTGCCTTCTGCTGAGCCATTCTCCTGTCCCATGCTAGTCTGGGCTGGAAAGAAACTTCCTTGAACCAGGACTCTTGCTGCCAATTGCAAGAAGAAAAGACACAAACAAAGACAAACAGAATCACACCAGTCTCTATGAACCTGCAGTTTAAAAAATGTTCAGATGTAAAAAACAGAGGCTTCATTAATTCTATTTAATGAAAGTTGCTTTCTTCCAATGTTTAGAGCAAAAGTGCTTATTCCCAAGGATTTCTGATCCTGGAAGGAGCCCCTGCGCATGCGCAGGCGCATGCTCTCCCTCACTCCCTCACCCTCCTACTTTCTCCTCTTTCCCCCCGCCCCCCCTTCCTCCTCCCTTGCTCCTCTGCCGCCACCCTTTCTGTCTTTCCCCCTCTGTCTCCTCCTTTCCAACTCCTCCCTCCCCCTCTCCCTTCCTGTCTCTTTAGCTTTCTCTGACTGGGTGTTCCTTACAAAGATGCTTTGTGCTTTGCCCCATTGCAGGCACGTGGGCCGTGCTGCAGTCCCGGGAGCCTGGTCCCTCCTGTGACTCCCCTCCAGCCCCACCCACTGGCCTTGGCAGCCTGTAGGGGGTGGGGGTTTCTGTTGCACATCCGTCCCCCTTTCCCTCTGTGTGTGGCTCCCGGGGATGTCCACTGCCATCCCGGGGACACCGAGGGGTATGGGAAGTTGGGCAGCGCTTCCTTGCAAGTTTGCTGGGAGCCAGGCCTGGGGCCACTTGCACTCCAGAGCAGTGGGGAGGGATTCTTCGAGACCTCCTGAGCCTTCATTATGCACCACAGGTAGCACAGCCAGGATGCATCCTCTGCCCTGGCCTCCGCTGGCTCTGCCCTGGTGAATAGGCCAGGCTCTGTCCACTTCGCCGAAACGGACTTATGTCCTAGGCCCCTGGGCCCCAGCTGTGGGCCTTTTGTCACAAGTGGGAAAACTCTGCACATCTACTCTGGTCCGTGGAAAAGCACATGGTCCATGTCCTGCTGGTAGACAAACAGCCAGAAAAAACTCTTCAGCTTTCTGAGTTTTTTTCTGAGGAAGTCAGGAGTCTCCAGTAATTATCGAAATGGTTACATTGTATGCTCTAGGAGTTTTAAGCCACCGTTGTTTGTTTTGTTCTTGTTTTTCCAGTGATGATAATAATGTGCCTTTGTTACTTTCCTCAGGTTCATTAGATGAAGTTTTCAACTGCAATCGGTCACCCAGATCATCTCTGACTGAGGTTCTTTTGGCAGAATTGCCGTTTCCAAGCGTTCTGGAATCTGAAGAGACACCCGACCAATTTATCTGATTGGATTGAACATGTTGTGGTCACTGCTATCTGCCAGGCAGGCCTGTTGGAGGACAGAAGGCTGAGGGGAGGCGAGAGGTGGTGGGAAGCGGGCACTTCCACCTGCTTGTCAACCCCTCTGCTCCCACAGAGGGCTCCTGTCTTCCATTTCCTGGGCCACGCCCTGGCAGGCCCGATGCAGCTGACTTCAGACAGGGAGGGCTTTGGCCCTATGGCCTCTCCTTGTAACGCTTCTCCAGAGAGGCCGAGGGAGCAGCAGAGTCCTGCCAGGCTGAACGCTTTGCTTAGTATCCTGGGGTCTTGGGAGCTCCCCTGGCAGCCTTTGAGCGTTCACTGTCCATACTGCGCAAGTCAGCGGCCCTCTGCTTGGGACCTCCTTGTCTGAACTCAAATCCAGCAAGCAGGTGGTTAGCAGTGCTATTTTCTTGCAAATGTGGCTTACCAAAAGCCTAGGACATTTTTCACTGGAAGACAGGTAGGTTTCTCATCCTTAGGAGGAACATTCTAGTAAGGGGTGCCGGAGGATTGGCCAGGTTGAGAGGACAGTGACCTTGCCACCCACTGCCTGAAATTTGAGCTGCCTTGCTGATCTCTCTCATCAAAGTGGCCTGCGTGGGAAGTGGCCAGGTGTTGTGGTACCAAACAGTGACAGGGGAAGGATAATGTACAGGGCAGGATCCTCTATTTGGAAACACATTAAGTCAGTTGGGTACTTTAAATAAGCTTTAAGCCATCCTAACACTAAAAGCAAAATAGAAGAAAGCTATAACATTACCATAGTACACTGTTACATCAATACATTTTTCATCTCATAGCTACAATGGAATTCTTCAAAAAGAAAAAAAATTCTATTTATATATAAAAACCTGCATGAACGAGTCACTACATATGCTTATAAATGAGGAAGATTTATGGGTCCTGAGTATGATTTTTGTATCCTTTTTAAACAATTTCCTGTATTATACATTTTGAGAGCACTACTGATTGTCCCTTCATTTATATTGATATGTTGGGTACTCTACTTGTGCAATTAAAACTTCTTAACATTCAATATGGAATCAATTAAATTTGTGACCAAGCATGTATGTGTGATTTTTCCACTGTGCTTTGCAGGTGGTATATTTGCTTTGTAACTTACTAAATGACAATTAGAATTCTGGTTTTCTCAGCTACTTTCTCAAGAAGAGCTTTTTGAAGAACGGGTCTCCAAAGCATTTGGAGAAAAGAAAAAGAATTTGATACTGATCTTTCACAAAAGGAAAAGAAGTTCCTTAATAACAGAAGAGGCTACACATTTGTTATTCAACTCAGTGCAAAATGAAGAGTGTTCAGAATAAAATAAGTTTTATACCAGTGCAAACAAACCTTAGGTGGATATCAAATATTACATTCTTCCCAAAAGAAATAGGGACTCTATTCACAAAAGTTGACAAAGAAGAATTTTTTAAAAGTAGCTGAACTGAGAAAAACCATCAGTAATCACTCCAAGAATGGACTAAAGATCTGGAAGTTTTCTTTTATAATTAAAACCTTTTTTTTCATTGAACTAAAAGCAATTTTCATTGAATACATTCACTCAGTATTCACTCAGCAAAGTTTTATGAACTGCTTCTAAGGGAATATACACTGTGCTAATATATTTATTAACATGTGTCACAAAGGAGTGCTATTGGGTGATCTTTAAAATTGGTGAAAAGTATATTGGGACAGATCTTTCTGGGTAAAGGAGGCTTCAATCTGGGTATAAAGGCAGCCTAATTCAGGTTTTTAACAGTTCAAGATCAATAAATCTATAGGCCAACAATGATCTAAGCAATTCATCCGTTCATTCAAGTCATCCATTCATTCAAGTCATTCATTCAACACGTATGATTGAGTGCCTACTCTGTGTAGTGCACTCAGGTGGGTGCTGGTATGTAAAGTGTCTAAAGCACAGCCCTTGCTTTCAAGGAGCGTCCAGTCTTAGAAGACAGATGTGCAAGCTGAACAGAAAAATAAAATGAGTGCTATGAGAGACGTTCAAAAAAGAGAACATCTAAAACACTTAGGGATCCAGTTTTGGAGGTAAAATTATGACATAAAACTATAAAACTTAGTTTTAAAACAAATATGTGAGGACTGATGTATCCAAGAGATTGATTTATTGAAGCTCTCAGTACAAGAGTCACCTTGAAGGCTATTAATTTATTCCAACAAGAATGCAAATCCAGACATTATCTACAGAGTGAGGGAGGTTTTATTCTCATTACCTCATGGTTAGAGTTGGATTTTTGGCTGAAGGATAACATTGCCCAACTTGATTGCCTACCTTAATTCTCAGCTCGAATGTGAATGTCTTTTTACTGTTTCAAATCCCCAATCTATCTTCAAAGAGCCAAGTTATGCCCCTATTTAAGAAATTCAAAAGAATATGCATCTAGTTCTGAAGGGAGTTTCTAAAGAATTTCAAAAATGCTTTAAGCAATGGCAGTGTCATTAGAATAAATTATTACTTTGAAGACGAGAACATTCATTTGGATGGGTAAATGCTGGTATAACAGATTTAAAAGGAATGTTCACACTTGATATTCAATACTTGAATACACTTGAAAGAACCAACAGTGTAAAGCATTAGTAATTACCCAATGGCTGGCCTGGCCCACTTAACCTCTCAAGAGTTCAGAGAAGAGGAACACACAAGAACCAGGGGGCGCAGAGCTGGCCCAGGAGGGAGGTGACGTTTATACTGGATTGACAAGGTTTTGATAGAATCAACAGTCTGAACTTGCTGCTATGGCTTTATTTGGATTAAATGTGAGTAAGTTTGGCGAGTGGCACATTAGAAGCAGGGCTTAGAATCTGCCCCATTAGATTGGACTGTCCTAACAAAATAGAGAACACTGTAGAACTTTCTTTTCTGGATCTTTCAGTAAAAGGATGGCAATCATTCTTGGCTATGTAACAACAACCCCTCCGAGTGGTAGATATGAATTAGGTGACTTCAGAAAGATCTGGACCTGTGATGGCTAATTTTATCTGTCAATTTGGCTGGGCCATGGTGTCCAAACATTATTCTGGATATTTCTAGGAGAGTATTTTTGGATGAGACTAATATTTAAATTGGCGAACTTTAAGTAAAGCAGAATTGCCCCCTACAATGTCAGTGCACCTCTCCCATCAACTGAAGGCCTGAATAGAACAAAAGCCTGACCTCCCCTGAGCAAGAGAAGATTCTGCACAGGTGGCCTTCAAACTTGAACTGCAACATCCGCTCTGCCCTGGGCCCCCCAACTGCTGGACTTCTTTGCAGATTTTGGGCTTGTCAGGCTGCACAACTGTGTGAGCCAATTCTTTAAAGTGAAATAAGTCTCTCTCTCTCCACACAAACACACACACACACACACTCTCTCTCTCTCTATTGTTTTGTTTCTCTAGAAAACCCTGAATAATACAGACTCCATCACAGAAATTGAGAACATGTTTTACGAATTAATCAATCAGCTAAAACAAAGGAGAAAAAGCAATAGGCTTTTTTTTTTTTAACATAAAGACACTTGAATAAAAGCATTGCATATTACTTAGTAATAGAAAGACTTTTGCCCAGATGTACTAAGCTGGAGAAACTTCACTCAGTATATCCATATCCAAAGTACTTGGGCAACACTGGAGATCGTTTGTGACCTCTGCCAGGCTTTTGGAAGCAGTCCCCTGCCAAATCTTTTACACATCCTTTGTTGGCTTGCTCTTTGAATCCTCCCATCAACTGATTTCCCATTCGCTTTCTCATTCAGGAGACACCCTTGCCTGTCATATTTCCTGGAGCAGAACTTCTCCAATTTGAATGTCCCTAGGAATCTCTTGGAGGTCTTGCTAAGCTGCAGACTCTAATTCAGTAGGTCTGCGTTCTAGCAAGCTCCTGGGTGATGCAGAGGCTGCTCATCCTAGGACCAGGCTCTGGAACTGTCCATTTCAAACTTAATGAATCATCTGGGGATCTTGTTAGAAAAACAGAATCTCAGGCCCTACCTGACTTACTGAGTCAGAATCCCTGTTCTCAAGATGCCCAAGTGTTGGTGGACACGCTCAGTTTGAGGAGGAGCACATTCGTCTTCTCCAGGTCTGGGCCCCATCTGCTCTTTCCACACGGCAGGCAGGCTCCATCTCTCTCCCTGCTTCTCACCCACAGCCTAAGAACTTGGTTCTTCCTCTCTCGTTTGGGTACTAACTCTCTACCTGACCTACTCCCTCTCCTCCAGCTGGAGTCTTCCTTCTCCTTCACAGCCAAAAGCTGGGTGTTCTACCCTTGCTGTCCCCTCCCTCTACCACCCACCTGTCGCTACTCCTTCATGTCATGTTCCTTCTGTGTGTGTGTGTATGTGGTACGTACGCGAGAAGAAATTTATTATAACAATTTAAATTGGAAAAAACCATTTAACATTTAGCCCCTTCAATACAACTACTCTCCAATTGTTGATCAATTTGAAACTCTGTAAAAGGCATATTAGTAAGCTGCACGTCTTAATTTCCAAATGGTTAACTCTTTCTGGTAGGTCATATGGATGATGTTGCTTCTCTTTCCCCTGGAAGAAGAGGACAGGTTTTATGCAAGGTTCTGACCTGATCGCTTTGCTCTGTTGCTGTAACCCACTCCAGTGAATAATTCTCCTGCTCAGGGGAAGCCCAATTTCTCAGCACGGTGGCCCGCAGGGCCTTTGGCTCAGTGTTCCCCAGCTCCCTCTTCACTCTTTCCAGCATGGCAATCCCAAGCTGTGCTGTTCCCTGCCTCCTGGGCCTTTGCTCCGCCTGGTGGCAGCTCTCCGTCTCCCTTTGATTGCCTCCTAGGCATCCTTGAGAACTCAGCTCAGGCATTTCCTGTTCTAGGGCCAGCTCCCCAAGCTCCCATAATATCCAGGGCATTGCCCTTACTGTCATCATGCAGCTCATTTTCAGTACATAAGCAGTGTTTGTTGAGGGAAAGTGGAGGGGGAAAAAAATCATCTTAATCATTGAAAGGGGTTGCCTCAAGCAACCCAAATTCAGAGGCAGGAATAGTGCTATAGCGGTCGTGATAAAATGGACTTGTACCAAAAATCCATTTTGAAGCAGGAATGAAAGACTATAAAAAGAATGAAGCTCAGAATAGCAATAAGACAAAAGAGCAATACCTTAGGTTTACGCGGCTTTATAATTTATAAATTATTGTTAGAATTATTCATCTTTACAGCCCGGCAAGGCAGGCACTGGTATACTCATTTTACAGATAAATTGGGGCTCAGAGAACTATCTGCCTGATCCCAAGGGCCCCAAGTAGAAAGTACAAAGAGATTTCCCAGCTCCCGATTTGGTGCATAGGCCACAATTTCACAGCTTGCCTAAGAGGAGACAAATGTAAGATATTAATAAGAATTCACTTTCGGGGCACCTGGGTGGCTCAGTCATTAAGCGGCTGCCTTCGGCTCAGGTCATGATCCCAGGGCCCTGGGATCGAGCCCTGGGATGGAGCCCCGCGTCGAGCTCCCTGCTCCGCAGGAAGCCTGCTTCTCCCTCTCCCACTCCCCCTGCTTGTGTTCCCTCTCTCACTGTGTCTCTCTCTGTGAAATAAATAAATAAAATCTTAAAAAAAAAAAAAGATTTCACTTTTGAAATTCTATAGACTCCCTGCTCTGTTTTAAAAAAAATACTTTTCTTAAATTATGCTATGCTAATTAGCTCTGTCATTTTCAGACGGTAATCTGTTATTGGGTGTTATTTTCCTCATTTAGATGCCACTACTAAATCCTAATTTAGACTCATTCCTTTTAATAACACCAACAGAACGCTATACCTTCTATGTGCTCCACCACCATTCATAGCTATAAAATTTGAGAGTCTAGAATGTGTTAAATGTGTTCCATTATATGGATAGGACTCCTCTCAGAAAATTCTACTTTAGTTCTTAATTTTTAAGCAATACCTTGCATATGCACTTGGGATGCTTACTTTGATGCCTATTCTGTGTCCTTTGATAAACTCCTTTTTTTAAAGTCACCTTCACCTAAGGTCCTACTTTTTCAAATAACCTCTTTGCAGAGAAGGAATGGTTGTAACTTGCTTTCTAAATACGTTGCCAGCAGTCTCTAAGGAGTATTTCCTCTCTTTTCCTTGCGCCCAGGTGGCTAATAGCTGTGTCCTAGCCTGGAAGCATTCAATTTTACTAAGCGCCTACTATGTGTCAAACTACCAAGCTAGTTGCCAAGAATATGAAGATAAAAGACCCTCCACACTCTTGGAAAACTGCAACACACACACGGGGGCGGGGAGAGACACAGTTGAGTCTATGGGGATAGAACAATTAAATTGACAATCACAAAACTCAATGGTTCATGCCAGAAACCTCCCCTGGTGAGGAGAAAGGTGTCACACACATCCCTGCCCACTCTTGTTTCCTTCGTAATGCAAAGATCTATGACAATTTTGCCTACAGTCACTGAAGTTGAAAGATACCAAGAGACGAAAATTTGCAATTGCAAATCTGACAATAGGACTTTCTCTTCAACAACTCATCTTTTTGCTTCTCTCCCCAGATATGCAAGACAATGCTCAGGAAAGCTCACTGCCAGAACTATACGAATACACGGAAGTAAGCAGACGTATTGCTGGAAACACATCTCTGCTTTCCGCACCCCGTCCCCCAGCCTGCCTGACGAAGCGCTCGCCCGCCCTACACCTCCCGCACCTGTCGGCCCCCAGCTGAGCTGCGGAAAGTGACCCGCGTCTCCATGGCGACGCGTCACAAAGCAGCCGCGCGCAGCCCACAGCACCCAGTCCAGCAGGAGCAGAGGGCACCGCCACGGCCTCTTTTGAGCAGAATGGCACAGACTGGGCCCGAGGCCGCGTGCCCCTCTCAAAGCGGCCACAAGATTCAGCCAAGTAAGGCTGCGGACCCAGCGGGCGGGG